ACGAGCTTGTCTTGCTAAACTTCCATCTTGAATGCTTTCAAGATTGTCTGTTTGGCTATTTACTCGAACATGTTGATGAAGCTTAGGCATAACGAGTTCAAGTAACTTGATAATAGAAATTTTGATGAAATATGATCCAGTCGTTAAAGATGGATGAAACAAACCACCGTCACAAGAAACAGGTAAAAAGTTTCTTGGTTCATTGTAATAAGAGCCATGTACATGTTTTTTGTCACAGATAAAACAATATTCTTTAACCAGGAAGTTAGATTTTTCGTTCCAGAATCCTCGCAAATTTCGGATTTTTTTTCTTGGATCAATTCTCTCCAAATAAATATTTATCATGCTAACAACATCATTAGCTTGAGATTTGGTTAATCCACTTTTCCAAATAAGATGACCAAGTAAACATTCACTTAGCTTACTTAGATTAATCTCTGATTCATGAAACGATGAACCAGGTGAAGAGATTGCTTCTAAGAGTTGACTTGGTTCTTGTTCTTGATAAGGTTCATGTGAATCCGCGTGTTCATGAAATGAATGTGAAGATACTTCATCCAATGTTTCACGAAGCACTGAAATAAAATCGTTTCTTGAATTTACAAGAGATCGTTGATACGTTGATGAAGAAACTTGATTCATGCTGATATGATAGTTATTTTTACAGAAATTTAGGTTTAAATTGCTTGTTTACATGACAATCTAATCTTGTTTCCTGTTATCAATTTCCTTTTCCCACCAAAACTGGTTAACAACACATGTAAATCACATTTCTATTACTTGATTCTTGTGTGTTGTTTATGTATCATCTAGTAAAAAGTGACCTTTCAAGCTTGTCTCGTGATAGTTTTATGCTTTCAAGTTCAGTTAAAAGACCAAAAAACTACCGCAACGTTGTTCCAGTTTGGCAAAAAACGTTGGTTGAATTCTTGAACATGAAAGGAGTGAAAACAACCGTGGAAAAAACTACTAGGAAAAATTCAAGAAAGCCCGTTGCCACGAAAAAGAAAAAGGATAAATCATTACAATTAATAGATCTTGTAGACACGCTTCCTGATACTTGTGAAAGTTACAATATTTTCGTTCTTGTGATTTCTGTGAATACAAGTGACGATGGCTTGATTCCATGTATCATCATTGTAGACAAAGAGAAAATTCAATCAATTATGAACGTGAACACAAATGGATTTATCAAGTTCGAGATCAGCGAGAAAAAGTTTTCTGGTAAAGTAGCTGCTATTTCAGGTGAGTTTTAAAATAACCGTTAAAATTCATGGTTTCATAGAAATTCTATCTTTCTAGCATCTAGAACTCAACTTGAAAAGGTTTTAACTGAGTTTATTTCAAAACGTGAAAAGTTAATTGATGTAACATTGATTGAGCAAGATAAATTGATATACTCATGTACTTCGGTGATACCTGTCGAACAAGCATTTGAATCAGAGATACTAGTAATAGCTCTTCAACATCTTTTGAAAGAACACGAAAACCTGAATCAAGATCTTGGAAACATCGACCAAACGTTGACAGAGCAACAAGAAGAGATAAGGAACACAACTAGAGTTTATCATGATAACGGAGAAGCTACTTCATCAAGAACCGAAGATTTCTACGAGCTTGACCCATTACTCGATCCAAGTACAAGTAACAATGATGATACAGGTTTTCTTGATGGCAACCCAATCGTGACCGAACATCAGACTGACGGACAAGAGAAAATGAAAACCAGGAAATCTAGAATCAAGAAATACTTTGCTGATAACAAGCTAATGGCTAGAATCAAGAATGCTGCTATAGCAAAGAAAAAACAGAAAGATGATAATCTTAAGACATCACTGAGTTTCCTTAAACAAATGATTCCAACAATGAGATCAACAAAGCCCTATAAGCCCGTGTTCGAGCACATGTTACAGGCCATCATGAACCTTGATAGTAAAATTGACGCGAGTGAGAAAGCGAAATCGAGAAATGCTGGTTACACGATTGAAAAGAAAATTGAGGTTAAGAAACTCAAAGATAAGGTACAAGATTATCAACTCTCATGTATGGCTGCATATTCATCCATGATCATGTTCTCTTTTTACAGGATATCGTTTCGATAGATGGAAAGATTGAAGTACCTTTATCTAGTTATGGATATTGTATTCAAGCTGACACCCCTCATCTTATTGTATCAAGATTCTTCAGAAAATGTATATCTCGAGAATTGAAACAAGGAAGCGAGCTGAGTGATTCATTATCACTAGATAACTTTATTTACAAAATTGGATCTGAAACCTTGACTGGTAAAGAGAGACTCGATGATGGTCAACAAATCATTGATACAATAATAAGTAAGGCAAATGTAAATTCATCTTTCACAAATTAATCATGGATCTATTTCCATTTCTTCAAGATCATGCTCATCAAGTACTTGAACAAGAATATGTCAACTTCAAAGAGTATCGAGAATGTGTTACGCAAATAGCAAAAGCAATTTATGACACGAATCGTGAAGACAGGAAAAGGCCAAGCTACAACGAAATGGAGCCAACGATTAACAAAAGGAAAAAAATTTCACTTGAATTAAGCGATGATGAAACCATTTTGGGTGAAAATGATCATGAGCTTGAATCACAACACGAAAACACAAATCATGAGGAAAACTCGAAACATGAAAATATCCAAGAAAAAGTTTGGATATATCTAAATTAACATGAATACAAAGTCAAGCTCATGTTGATTGATGAAAATTTATAAATTTCTCACTAATTTCCACATATTTTTTTTATTAATTTTTCGCTAGCAAATTACTCTATTTGATTTATTAAATTAAAAATTATTTATGCATGAAAAAAATTCTTGCGTCTGATTCGTATCATAAATTCAAGACAAATATCGCGCAGAATGCATGAAGCAATTTCATTTATACAAAAAATTTGTAAGCGAAAAGTGCGCTTAATATTTATTTCTAGTTGGCGTTTACTTAACTAGATTCAAGTTTCTCGCTTATAGAGACAAAAAAGTTTGATGCTCGCAAAAACGCAGCAAGTAAATGGTTGACTGGGATACAAGAAGCTTAAAGATGATGATAACCATAAACTAACTGTGACAGTAAACTTGAAGATGATAAATATTGATGAGGATGAAGATAAAATTTACATAAAAACTGATCATCTTAATTATCTGAAAGATGAAATGAACAAAAAAGTAAATCATTTTTTTCTGGGTTAGTGAAAAGAAACCATTTTTTTTTTCATTCTGATTAACCATCTCATGTTCAGTGGTTTTCACTGATTATTGGCTCTGATTGTCTGGTTATCATCATGTTGATAATCTTGAAGATGGTGGTAACAATCAATCACTAGCAATGATGATAAACATACAGTCGAGTGTGAAAACCAATGACTTGAGTATGAATTCTGAGTGAGAGGATCCAGTAAATTGGAAATGCAATTGATTCATGAAAATTAATTTTTCTCACTAATCAATGGAATCGATATGATGATTGGTGAAGACTAGAAAAATCTTCAAGGTTAATTGTTACCAAATGCAAATTACTAAATTACTTTGGAAGCAATCGGACTGTGATTAGTTAATTGTTAATTAGTTTTCCATCATATTTTTCACTTCAACTCAAATTTTTACTTTTGCAAACAAAACAAAAAAATAAAAGTTTCCATCAATGAAAATTCAAACACTATGAATGAATTTTAAATGTACAATAAAAATGACGAAGAAAAAAAAACTCTAGATAATAATAACAACCACAATTAAGTTAACAATTTAGTTGGATAGTTAAATTGTTGACCTTGTACCTTTGATTGTTGTTTTTTATTACCTTTTCCCATGTAAGTATTACCATTCAATCTTAATCCATTGTTAATGTTGGATTACCATTTGTTACACACGATAACGACTTTTAAACTTACCTTATCCCTTTTTAAATAACCTTTCAAGGTAATCATCCTCATCCTCATCCTCACCTTCATCATCTACCACCACCTCCAACCTCCTCCTCTTTGTATATGTAATACGATGCAAACATTTTCCCTTCATTTCGTGTTAAATAGACCTTTAAATAAGATTCAATTCCATTGGCATTTGTATTGTAAAAACTAAGATGATGATAATAATAACCGATGATGAAGATGATGGAGATGAAGATAAAGTTTTCGTGATGTGAAAAGTGGTCTAACTTGTTGACCGCATCCAGACAGGTAACATTGGAAATAAGAAAACGAAAAACAATTTTGACCTGAAAAGTTTTGCGTCTCTATGATAATAACAAGATGCACATCATCATCATCATCATCATCATCATCATCATCTCTCTCTCTCTCCTCTATATTAACAACTTTACCCAGGTACTAAAACCAGTTTCAGTACAGCTCTCATTTTCCTTCATCATCATCCCCTATTTTCTAGCCAGTTACCTTTATGGTGACCAACGTGTTCAAGTTATCATTTTTCTTATATCGTTCAATAATATGAATAATATTATCGGTTTTAAACTTGAGTCTAATTAATATTTGTCAAGTTATCGTGCTAAAAGTATTGTCTTATGTTGCATTGAAACAAGTGATAATATAAATAGTGAGATAAGTCTGAATGAATTTACCAGTGAATAGTAAAAAAAGTGAAATAATTTGGTGAGAATCTCCCTCCCCCTTTCTCTCTCTCTCTCTCTCTCTCTCTCTCTCTCTCTCTCTCTCTCTCTCTCTCTCTCTCTCTCTCTCTCTCTCTCTCTCTCTCTCTCTCTCTGGGTATTAACTTTCATCTCCCTTAAGCTTTAAACTTGACACTGAATCTTTGGTATCATTTTGGTTCATGATTTTTTTTCTGCTTTTTGATTGATATCATTTCTTATTGCAATGATTACCATTATCATGATAATATACATTCAATTGTTAACAATCAAATTCAATCAATTGTTATGTCATTATTATTATAATGTGAATACGATTGCTATTTAATTGTGATAATAATGAGAAAAAAAAATCTTCACCATCAATAAAACCTAATATTGGAATTTTTTTATGTTATTATTATTTGTTTAATTTTACAATTATTTAATAGATGATAATTGTGAAAAGACTGACAGTTAAATGGTCAGTAAATATATATGGAGATTTCAAAGGGTTTTTCATGGAAAGTTTTGGACTCGTTTTTGTGTATAGATGTGCTGCTTTATGAGGCAAATTGGTTGATTAATTAATTAATTTTAAGAGTAAATTGAAAACTAAATTGTCTAATGGTGCTAAAGTGTAAGAGGAAAACCTACCCCCAGTCCGAAATATTTCCAAAAACCCTAAGAACTAATTCTCAGCTTGGCGCTTTAGCGAATAGCCCATAAGTTAGATCGTAGTTCTTGAAATGGCAGAATTGAAGTTCTTTACTCATGAATCCGTTGAAAGTTAACGATCGATAATCTTGAACACATTCACCAGCAATTGAGCTCTGCTGAAAGATTAAAAAAAAGAGAAGAGAAAATCAAATCAAATATTATTAATCAAGTCAACAAGGAGAAAAGTATTGAATTACAATTGATTTGCAATTGTAATTAATATTTTTTTCCCAATGTGATAACAATTATTGTCCTTTGAACTTGAAAAGATAAACATAATGTTAATCTTTTTCTATTAAGAAAAAAATGATATTTTATATGTTCGATTAGGTTTGTCAAGTAAAAGTGATTAATTAGTTATTGCTGGATGAAAATTGATGAAACAATGAATATCAATTAAGATCAAATGGAAACAATTAGGTAAAAGTTAATGTATCACAATTCATTACCAAGTTTCTATCAATAATTGAAGGTTAAATCGATTGGGTGATTACTACTAATTGCTAACTTTTTCTATGGTAATTAACGAAAATGCTTTTTTCAACTCAATTGATAAATAGACAGACACAGAGAGAGAGAGAGAGAGAGAGAGAAACACTATTAGAAGGATATAATTACGATTTGTTCATTATCTTTATCATCTTAATATAATAACCAAACATAAACAATGGAAATGATAATGACAATTGAAGATATTCCTATCTAGAGGCTTAATCATAATTATCTCACATGGAGAAATGTTTAAATGATTAGATGAATTTGTGTTATAATCAATTAATCGGATGATGATGGGATCAATATTCAGTTATAACGGAAAAAGGTACTTAAATTAGTCAATAAAATTAAAACTGACCTCATTAGCAAATAGAGTTAAAGTAAATTTTCCAGGATTGAAGATTTTAAGTAATCGAGAAAGCAAATCATGGTAGTTAGCCTGAGGGTAGTTAGTTTCAAAGCTAACGTATGAAAAATGAGGTTCCGGTGTAATATGAATAGTCATATAGTAACCCTAGAAAGAGAAATATATTTATACATATATTAACTAGATTGAAGAGAAATGTAGATGTTTAAATTGTAATTGATGAATTTATACTTACACCTTTGATGAGTCCATTCATGGAATAGCCACAAGGTTCGAATAGGTAATCATCAATTATCATTCCGGGAAGAATCTTGTCAATACCAGATCGAGAAGTTGCTTCTTTAGCGGTTGTGCAAACCTCTCTGGTGAACAATTTCATGACCTTCGGATCTAAATTTTGCATCATAATTTCCAGGGTTTGATCAGGTCCTTCAATCATCTTAACAGGTTCCATTGGATTTAAAGTGAACAGGAACCAACAATCTCGATTAACACGACCCATACAGTAAGAAGCACCATCTTCAAAATAGTTATCCAAATATTCAACTTCATTGTCGAAAGAACTGTGAGGCTTGGGCTGTAATTCAGGTCGAAGAAAATTTTTACGAGAATAAAAGATATCCAATACCTTATCGAATCCAGTAAACTCTTTTACCAAATAAAGTAAAGGTTCAATACAATTAAATAGGGTTGTAGTTCCACAGGTTTTCAATATGAATCGATTTCGTGAGATAAACATTGAGCTTTCTGACAATACATAAGCATCAATTAGCTCGTTCTTCTTGAAACTGATTATTTCACATTTAACAAGAGCCAAAAGGATTCCAAAGCTGTTCGAGGTATTAAACGAAGATCTTTGGAATCAACAGATTGACGTAAATCAGTACAATCAAACCAAATTTCAAGAAGCTTTTCAGTTCCTTCGAAAAAATGACAATATTCAGGAGAAGAAGATGAATCGTCTTCAGGTGACATTTTGGTATGTTCAGGAGAAGGGCGTAGTTGAGAAGCGGAATGAAGAGCCTAAGAGACATGAAAGTGAGAAAAAAACAGCACAAACAATCACAAAACACAATGAATATTGCAAACCCAGAAATAGAAGAAGATGAAACCAAAATCTTACCGTCAAGCTCATTTTGAATTTATTATCACTGTAGAGAAGAAGAGAAAAATAATAGAAAGAAAAACGAAGAACAAGAAGAAGAAGAAGAAAAGTAAGTTAGTAAAACAGTAGAGAGAACCAGAAAGGAGAATAGAAAAAAAAGTGGAAAAGAGAAAAGAAAAAATGACAAAATGACAAAAATTGACTTACCAATTTATTTGTTGAGAGAATAAAAATAGAGAAGGAAAAGCGAAGGAATTTGATAATATTGGATGAAAGTGAGAATCAAAAAGAGAAACAATTAATAAAATATAATAATAATAATAAAAGATCACAATTAGAATCACAATTAACAGATTTAACAACAACTCTCGAGCTAAAAGGGTTTCCACCAATGGTGATGTTCACTGGTGATGTTCACGCAGCCTCGTTGTGACGAGGGTCATGTGACCTCTCATCAGATGTTCGGTTTGTTTGTTTTGGTTTTCATCTTGAAAGGGAGCGAAAGAGTTGCCAAAATCTGGGGATGAGAGGGCCAACCGTTTGTTTGTTTATCTTTGATGATTGAACTTGGATTGTGAGTTTCAGTTTGGATTAAATACTTTGGATTTTAAACTTTGTGTTGAACCTCCTTATGAATTGCTGGAAATGTCGGTCTAGGTCACAGGTTATGAACTTCGTTCGAAAAGGTGACGAACTTTCCCCCTGCTCCTGTTCGTCTTTTTTTAATCATCTTTAGGATTTTTCTCACATCATCAAAAAGGAAAAGGAAATTGAGATTGATGATTTTTAGAATTTGTGAAAATTGAAATTCTCTATGGGATTTTCCATGATAATTTAATTTTCTCGATCAATACATTTTTTGGAGGTTCAAATAAAACTGAAACTTTAATAGCATCGATGAGAATCAATATATTATGTGAATGAATCAAGATCATCTTTTTTGTGCTCGACGTGCTTTAGATAATCGCTTCATCGAACACAATTGAACTTTCTTCGATTTTCTCTTGAGAAACTTCCTTAATATCTTTCAGTTTATTTTGAGTTTCGAGGAAAAACATAAGATCTCTAACTTGTTCTTTACGATCTTCGATTTGCTTTCCGTCATTTTTGTCGATAGTTGTTGATTTTGGGACGAACATTTGTTAATTTCTTTTTCCTCTCGAACATCATAAACAACTTTCGACAATCGAGATTCTTGATTCGACAACTTAAATGGGTCACTTTCTTTTCCAGTGATTGTTTTTCTTTTCATAACCATTACACGTTAATTAACTAATGGTATTTAAATTGTTGTTGTTGTTTACTAAATTACTTTGCATAATCATCACCATTGTTGATGTAATTACAATGATTGAACAAATTGCAAGTCCTATCTTCAAGATAATCACCATTGCCCACTACCCTAGGATAAAACCACCTCTCAATTTGTGATGTGGTTATTATTTACTCACTGATTGTTGTTAACTAACTGGTAATTAGGTAACAATAAAGGTTGGTCAAAGTTTACCAAAGGTGATTACCAACTTGATTTATAAATAACCTAAGGATCAAAGGTAACACCTATTTGGTTACTTAACCATTGACCAACAAATTGGTTGATTAGTTTTGAATAGAATTGGTGTTTTTTTTTGTCTTGAGTAACCGGAAAACGGAAACACACCATTGTAAAGTCATTGATCTTACATCAAGTGGATTATAATCATCAAGAGTTCTAAGTATTTCCTCATCTTCATTTTCATCATCATCTTTCAACTCAATAAACTCAGTTAATTATAACTTTTTTTCACTTCTTCCTCTTATAATTATATCATGACATTGAAGGGTTGAACATGGAGCTTAAATTGAAATACCTTGAATTGTTGATTCCAGTTCCAAACAGTTGATGATGATTCAAAGCCAAAATCAACTATTCACCATGAAAGACAATGAAGATGAAAAGAAATGAATGATGATGATGATGGAGATGAAGATGAAGATAATAATGAGATAACTGTAAAAATGATTTTCATCATTAGTAAAGTAAAATAGAGATGGGAAACTAAAGTTTCCCCTGAATTATCATGAATTTCATCCGGTGATAAAATTGAATAGATGAAAATGAATCTGAATGAATACTTATAAGGGTAATTTCAACTTCTCTTCCAGAACTTTTGTCATGATAATCATCATTATTTATGAATATCATGTAAAAGCTTCTGAATCATCATGTTTACATAGTTGGTGTTTCAATGTGAATCCAAGCAAGCAAACAAAATGTGTTGATTATTTTTCCTCATTTTGGTTTTGTTATTCTGGGCAAAGGGTCAGTCTGAAAACTGGACTCTACATATAAGGTCTTTGGCCTTATTTTGATTGTTGTTATTTACTATCAACAATCAACAATCAACAAGCAAACAAACACACACACGGAAATGGTCAATAAATAACTGTAACCATAATTGGTTACATTGATTATCTTTGATAATCAGTTGAGTGTTTTGTTGTTGTTGTTGTGATAATCAGTTGATTAATTTACGAATTGCAATTTAATTTAGTTGATTTGTCCAAAATTAACTTAATTACCTTACAGACTCAACTGTTGTTGTGAATATTATATAATACTTTATGAATCTTTCAATTGATTCTAATTGATTAATGATTATGATTCTAATCAATTGTCCAACTGTGATTATCGCCCACTAATCAAGAGGCTCAATTCATTAATCAAGAGAGGAACTTATTTTTTCCCTTGATTAATTGAAAACAATCAACTGATTACAATTAAAGTAGCAATCGCAAGTTTTAATCAACAATTAGCAATTCAATCTAATCATCTTCTTCTTCATTTAACTTCAATTGTCAACAATTAACCGCAATTCAGATTGAAAGGAAAAACTTTTTGACAATCATTTTAGTTTCTGTATTAAATTAGCTGATGATTTAATTTTTTTTTCTCAAACTAATTAAAATTTAAATTAGATTTGATTGTTTTCCATGAGGTAGCAATTAAAATGCAAATTAGTTACAAATAATAAATGAAAAGTATAAGAAAACAAAAAAAAAACTCAAAGGCAATGATTTAAAATCATTCAACTAAATTAACTATTCACTGATTAAAACATGGATCTGATTGCAATTGATTGATTATTGGCTTACAATCAGTTTAAATTGCCAAGTCAGTGAGAGGTTAATGAAGGTCAGTTAATCAACATGGGTTGACCCTTATTGTTTATTGGCTGTTGGTTAATTTAAATGCAAAGACATGGTTGTTACAATCAAATTAAATTGTAAAAAAAAAAATCTCAACAACAAACAATAACAATTTAAGTTGTGATGACCATTGTGATTATATAATTGCAATTGAATTGTTGATTACCATGATATTAAACTTGACCCATCCACCCGGAAATTGACAATCAGTTAATCATCGAGGGAAATTTGGTGTTAATCAAATCAGAATGATTAAGTTAAATCACTTTTTCATCAATTGGACATAATCATGATTAACTTGAATGATACTTTGAAAGGTTGATTAAATTGTTACATATAATATATTGTTTTTATTTAACTTTTAGATGATTAACTTCCTGGGTTAACAAATTATCATTAATGTGCAACAATTAACTAAATTCAGTTCAATTCAACCTAAATTAGACAAATACTTAAGGTAATATGATGAGTATGATTATTGTGTAATTGAACTTAAATTAGTTTACAATTAGTGATTTATTATTAATAAAATCGTGGTTTAGTTTTAATTTATTAAAGTAATTAAGTTTTGATTATCACTATTTACTTTATCTGTAAGTTAATTGTTGTTTCATTTAAACCATGACATTGGTTGAACAAATATCTCCCCAGCAATTAAAAGGGATAACTATTAATGACAAACAACAATCAAAGCTAACAATTGTAATTTAGGTTAACAATTTAGTTCTGTATTTAAATTGTAAAAAGTAATTCAGTTAAATCCATGAAAATTAGGAGATAATCAACAAAAATAAAAGAAACACCAACAATCATGATTATCCTAAATTAGGTAAGATTAAAGTTAATTGTTTATGATTATGATTACACGAAAATTGTGATCATAAAAATCACAATTCAAGGTTAATTAATACCGTTGATGATGTTGAATTGTTGATTATGATCAACAAAACAAACAAACAAACAAAAATCAAATCAAATATCATGTTAATCGTGTTAATTGTTGGTCTCATTTACAATTAACTCAATAATAATGATAACAATTAACTCACAGTAATACAATAACTTCAACCAAATCAAACAAAACACAAATATGATTAAGATTTTTATGAAAAAATAAATTTGATCCACTAATTGTCATAAGTTAATTGCTAATTAACTACAATATAAATTATAATTTCTCATTTGTCGTTTCCCTTTTCAATATCAACAATTAAAATCAATTTTTTTCATTCCATAAATAAATCTCGTGATAATTTACATCCAAAGGAAATGATCTAATTTCACAGATAAACAATTAGCTGATTAGTCATTTTCAATAACTATTCTAATAATCATTTCCACGCTAATTAACCAATTAAGCTAATGCTCATACAAAGTGAATTAGAAAATGTAATTAACACAAAACACAATACGTAAGCTAAATTCCCTCACCAGATGGCGCTGACTGGAAGAGTTTCGATTGGCCGAAAGGTGGAATGATAAGTGTGAGATTTAAAAGAGAAGATTAACAAAAATGATTGTTTGAAATTCACTTTACAACTTGAGCCTGAGCTTGGATGAAGTCAATTGAAGCTGAAGTTGTAGGCAATATTAGTATTTTAAATGTAATTTATTTGTGTTTTTGTTTTTAATTTTTTTTCTCTTCTCTTTTTCTCCTCTGTAAATCTCTTCTTTCGATAATGGCTAACCATCTGTCATTATGTAAGAATGATGATTACAATTATTTAATCAACAACAATGAGCTAATCATGACTTGCCATGAAGCTTTAGCTGAAAATGAGGTTGGATTAGTGAACAAATTACCAGAAACAACACCAGTGGATTTACAGTTTCTTACCTATTCTTCGGGTTCACCATCTCCGGGGATTAGTGGTTCTTCCTTACCTGTGAATGTTTCAAATTCAACAAATTCACTTTCAACTAATACGGATAAAGTGTCACTCAAAGAGTTCTCCCAGTGGTTAACACGAACAGAGAGACACCTTTCATCGGTTTGCTATTGTCCATTTCATTCTGGAAATGTCAACACCATTAGCACAAAACCAATCAAAAAAATCACCACCGCAATTAGGAGCAATAATGATAACACCGATCACTCAAATTGGATTGATGCCATTGCCGAGCATAAAGTAAACTCATCAATTCATCTTATATTCTCTCTCATCCTCTCTCATCTCTCTCTCTCTCTCTCTCTGTCATTTTCATGATGGATTCTACCGTGAATCTTAGTAATAACTAAACCTTGGCTCTAGTCTATTTTCTTGTGCTCATTTTTCCTCCTGCAACTCTAACATACACATTAGAACATTTATTTGTTTTTCTGTGTCATCAGCTTGGATTAATTCAAATTCTTTCCTCTAACATTCTATACAATCTTATCTTATTCTTTTGAAAATAATCTTTCCTTTTCTCTCCCTCTCTGATTTTTCTTCTCTTTTTTCTCCACCTTTATCAGTATTTTCTTTTTCATCTCTGAATCCTTTTATCTCTCTTAAGGCCCAAGTGATTCTCATTATCTCATGTAATTAAGTCAGAAGAAAAGTAGAGATTAGAATTTCTAATTTACAAATAGAATAGAAAATTTTATCAACACCACCAGGTTAATGCTTCAATCATCATTAGAAACACACTGAGGTGACCACCATAGGCTCTGAACTGACCATTCAGTTGATGAAAAAAAATCTAAAAGTTCCGCTTTAATTACTATCATTAGATATCCTTTGAGTACCTAAAAGAAATTGGGCAAAACTCAATTATGTCCGTAAGCTCAACATTTACACTTCAAGCTGATTCCTCTTAGGCTTAAGATTCTCGGCTTTCTGAGAAATTAAATTTGATTTGATTTATCAAATGAATCATTTGAACGATTTGACATTTTCTAACACCTTTAGAGCGTAACAGGTACCAAATAAGTCCACATTTGACAATGAAAATAGCAACCGAACAGTAGATTGCGATAATCGGTTAGCTGATTAGCTGTGTCTACATTAATAGTGTGACGGTTTGATTGTCTTCAAGCCCTCCGGGCCTTCCCTCGCCAATAGTGACCCTTGAGAATGTGTAAACCTAACCTAATTTAAAGAAACACAATTAATTAAGCAATTAACTTCATTTCCATACGAAGCTGTAATTGGAAGCCGAAAAAGATTAGCTTCAAGTGTAAATGTTGACTCAGAATTCTTGACTCTTACCAGAAAATTGTTCAGGAATCAGCTTCAAATTGGAAGCGTTTCGCTATCGAACCCATGGCGCCATCTTCATTCTTGTTTTTCAACTTTTTTCCTTCCACATTTTTAAACATCTGATTAACTTTTTTACTATTCAGCCAAAGACTTTGAGTTTCAATTACTTTTTAAATCATTCACATAGTCATTAGGTTTCTGGACCAAAGTGTCGGAACTTTATTTTCCAATCGTAATCAAATTAATTGTTAAATTTTCTTATTATCTATGTTCGTAGATGATCTTAATTACGAAATTGTGTCTGTGCAAAAGAATTTCAATTAATTAGTTCGATATTTATGATAACATTATAAAAAATTAGAATTCGAAAATTGAAAAAAAGTTAATACTCTTCCCTTTGGTTTTCTCGCAAATCAATTTTCATACATTTTTCGATTTTCAATTAATTGAAATTTAACTGTTCTGAATGTATATTTTCGAACTTTTTTATAAATATGTTCTATTGTCAATGAAATAACTCAATTTCTAAAAAAAAGCTAACAACTAATTTGATTACGATTGAAAAATAAAGTCCCCGGTTTGGTTCGGACAACTTGATACAATAAATATTACCAATGAGAGAAAGTTAACCCAGAGATATGAGATAATAAGTATCGACCTTTTAAACGAAAAAATTTCTCAAAACGATCAGCTGATTAGAAATCGAAAGGTATCTTTACCTGAGCGATTGATTTAGAAAAAGTAAATGTAAACCAAAGAGCAAGGAACTTATTTGGTCTCTATTGATAACTCAAAGGCTTTTTCGTTGTATTTCACCAATGGTTCAGTCGATTAATTGTCTGACCTTTTAAATTGTTTCAAGAAAACAATTAAACCAAATTTCCCTTTGATTCTTGACACTTATCCAAGTTTACATCAAATTCGTACCACCAGATGGCCTTAGTGTCTCTTAATTGTTGACCCAATTAAAAAAATGAGAAGATAATTACAAAGAAATCATTTTGGCGAGATTACAATTGAAAGAGTATAAAAGTTCCAATTTGATGATAGAAGAATTCAAAAAAATCATCAACTTTTTCTCTGTAAAGTTATTCATCATGAAAAGGAAAATTAGAATCTGAAACTGAATCAATGAAGAATCTTGATTTCGATAAAAACTCCAATTCCAACATAAAGCGGATTCATACCATCAGATGGCCTTAGTGTCTCTTAATTGTTGACACGTTTAAAAAAATAGGAAGATAATTACAATTGGTGAGAGAGAGAGAGAGACAGAAAAGGGAGCAAGAGAAGAAGGAAACTTCCATTTTGAATTTAACTTCACAATTTATCTCCACTAGTGTATAAGGACCTTGATTATCGCTTTTTTTGTAACAAGTTTCTATTATATTGTTAATCATTTGAATAAGTTTTTCCTCTCTAAATGATAAAGTGTTTAAAGATTTTCTATTCCTTAATTTACCCTCTTCCCTTTATCCCAAACTCATCATCAATCTTTCATTTTGGATTATCTTCTCATTAGTTGTTGTTGTTGCTCTCCAATTCTCTTCAGGTAATTCAAGCTGAAATTCAAAGTGTTGGTCGACGTTTCATTAACTCATTCAAAGCAAGTGGTAGTAAAATAGATCAATCGTTGTTCAAAGCACAAGAGGATCGATGGCACGGTCTGTGGCTCAAGTCGATTGAATATTCCATGCTCGTCGAGGAATTTCAAATTTGTCCAAATCATACAACTTGGAATCGCGAAAGGTCAAGTGCTCAACAAAACTCTAAAAGATTCAAATTGGAATTATTTCCCGAAGGCAAAGAAAACAAAGGAATGATGAGAAATCGTCGAATTCAAACCAACATGATTGGATCGGGAATGAACGAAACTTTCAATATTCCTAATGGTAAATATGAGATAATCCACAAAGATATTGGTTATTCCAGTGATGCTGATATGAGTGATTGTGAGGTAAGATTAATAATAATCAGTTTTGAAATGTTTTTCTCTCTCTCTCTATTGATTATAATGATCATATGAAATCATATTGATTAGAATGATAATTATACGATGATTAATCGAGAATTTCAATTGTATTAATGTTGATTCTTTTTTTTTTCTTCTCATTCCATCAAAATTCAGCCAATCTCACTGATTAATCAAGATAACTTAAATTCTAAAAGTCCACGAAAACGGCATCGTCGTCGTCGCCCTCGAATTGGTGAACGTCCATGGAGCTTTCACTCTGAATGGACCGGATGGGACTATTACCCTCTTCATCTTGGCGGCGGAGAATATCGAAGTAAGTAATAACTAAGATAATCCATTAATCCAATTGTTGCATAAATCCAGTTCCATTTTTCATGGAATATTGTTTCCCAAACGACTTTAAATTGGGTCGGGTTTTTCTTTCTCTTCAATCTCAAAAGTCATTCCTTTTCCTTTTCCACAACAACAGAAAAGAGAAAGAAAAAGCTCTAATCGAAATTGAAATAATAGTTAGGTGGCGATAATGATAATGATTATGATGTTGTTTTGATGATGATGATGATGATGATGCCGTAAAGCATGAATAAGAATAGAAATGTTTCTTCTTTCATACTCATCCTAAATGGATTCTCTCGGTCTGTTGAACGTATTTCTGTTTCAGCTCACTCAAATAATAGTAAAAGCACCTTCTCTCTCATTCATGCTTTTCCTTTAGCGTTGTTATGTGTGTTGTGTGTCTGTTAACATTTTCCCTCACTTGGTTTCGCTATACTAATTAGACTGATGGGAAAAAAAAGGTGATTTGTCATTTCTTTTGATTCATTGAAAGCCTCAAATTACCTTTAATCCTTTGCTCTTTACGTTCATATATCTTGTTGTGTTTATCGTTTCGTTGGCAACATTTTCAATCATTCGTTGCTTTTGCAAATTGAAATTACTCTTAATCATGATTCTAACTGATCTAATGTCAACTTGTTTTCTCTCCAATTTCATAAAACACCCATGAAAAATGAGATGAGAACAAAAATTATATCTAACACTATATAAAGTGATAATTTGATCAAAATTGGATTGATTGAGATGGAAATTGTAAGAGAAACGTTATCACAATTAAAACAATTATCTCGCTTTCTGCATTTGATATAATTTTTGTTTTATTCTGATCTAAATGACAATCTTCATTCGAGTCAATTAACTTAATCCTATTTTGTAGACAATTTTAAACAATTAACTGTAGTAATGAAAATGATTCCTTTGTTTGAGAGGCTTTCATTGAACTTGTAATAATTTACCTGTATTACAATCAACAATTAATATTTCAATTGATTAACTTGCATAGGTAATAAGTTAATCAATTGTTTCTTTTTGATTAATCTATCTTTAACCAATTACAACTTAATTACATTAGAAGAGTTTAAATTACAATCAAGATTCTTGATTTTGTTTACCTTCAAATTTTTCTTTCCATGATGATTAACATTGCAAAGGAAAAGTTGATGAGAGAAAATTTTGTTTTATTCTTCCATCATCAGATTAGTTTGGAACTTTTTTCTTTCACTGATTTCAACAATCTAATCTCTCTCTCTTTCTCTCACCTGAATGAGAAATCCAATCAAAAATGATTAACGTTCTCTAACTATTACTTGTTAGTCTTTTTAATTTGATCCTTAGCTTTTTGTTTATTTCATATTCATTATTATTTTGATAATAATTAACATTAATTTCACTATTTGATTCATTAATGAGTTTCCCTCTTTCTCTAATTCATATTTTCCTTATTATTTAATTGTTGTGTTAATTTTCAATTATTATTATTGATTTTTTCAACTTACACTTAAAATATTTATATTCACTTTCAATCAGATATTAATTGTATTTTTTAGGTGGCTAACCAAACTGAATTAACCAAATTGTTATAACAATTAAGTTACACAATGCCTTAAGGGCATGTATAAGCAATAATAACTCGTGAAAATATATATATGATTAACTTATTAGCTGATAAATGATTGTTTGTTAATAACAATAACAATAACAGTTACTGGTTGTTGGTTGTTGGTATTATGTTGATAATATTACAATTGTTACGATTCCCGTTTTTTGGTGCAAAAATTGAACAAGAACCTGAAGCACCACAAAGATAACGAAAACACCATTCGATAGCATTTCAAGTTCTGCGAGAATTCAAAATTGAACCAATGTCATAGAGGTTAAGGGTCAAAAGTTATAAGCTTTTGAAATTTTCTTCTTTTTTTCACTTTTTCTTATTGTCATATGCTTAATCTAATGTGATTGTTAATCAATTGAATTGTTGATAAAATAAGATTTTAATTGAATGAGAAAGAGAAAGAGAGAGAAAATTAATAAATAATATTAATAAATTATTCTTTCTTGATTGTAATAAGTTTTCATTTTTATTTTGAATTTACAATCAAGTGATTTTATTTTCAATATTCAACTTGTTTGCTTTTGACCCTTTTAAAGGTCAGTTAAACAAATTTTTATTTTATTGTTGGTTTAATTGTGTTACAAGTCAAGGGAAAGTTAAATTATCATAATCAAAAATCAATATAATCACAATTTGATCATATTGATGATTACCTTTTCTTCATTTTTTGTTAACTTACCTGGATGAAGTTTGAGATGAAGATGATACCGATCGGATTAAATGTTTGATATTGATTGTCTTGTGAAAGATAAATTGAGATCTTGGTCTGTTATTAGAGAGTTGAATTCATCTATCAACTTTTTCCTCTCTTTTCATCATCCTCATCCTTTTCATATTCTTTTTCTTTCATCAAATTGAGGGTTACCTTTGTGTATCAGTCTATCTCACTCTGAGTCCATCATTACCTGGGTCCTTTTTCTTGATCATTTCTCCCTCTTTCTCTATCTTATACGCTTTTGGAATCACCTCCCACCTCTTTTTCCAAGTATAATCTTGATCATTGTGAGTTTTTGCTTTATCTTCCTCTCCCTCATCATCATGTTTAATGATAACAATGCTCACTGGTTACCCACTTTTTTACTTGATAATCATCAATCTGCTCAGTCTTTTTAATATACAACATACTTCAGTCAACCATTTATAACTCAAAATTGATAATATCAGTAGTTAGTAATGGTAAATATATGAACGCCCAATGAGAATAATGAAAATTTGCTATTGATAATCAGGTAATCAATCGATAATTGTAATTTTCAATTGCACAAATGATAGAAGAAGAAAAAAGTAAGAGAAAATAATATTTACTCATTTGAAGCATCAATATTTGTATCAAATGTTTATTCATTGGAAACAATGAAGAGAGAGCAGAGAGAGAGAGAGAGAGAGAGAGAGAGAGAGAGAGAGATGAAGCCTCAATAGCTTCTGTGTTTGTGTACATAATACTACGTGAGAACTCACAATCATCCTTTATGCAAAAACAATTCAAACGCAGTTCTGACCTTCGTGCTTAGGCAAAAAAGAGAGAGAGAGAGATAAATGGGGAGAGTTTAATATCAAAGAGGCGAGGGTTTAGTGGGTGTGGGGTCTCCAGGTAGATACAAGGGATGGCTAATGATACCTTTAGTCAACTAACCTCAGGTCTTACCAAAGGGCCTCCTCTTAAGCTTGAGCACACCAATGAACCGGCAACTCTTAATATCATATTTGTTGCGCTCTAACTATACCCAGTCTCTCACTCACTCTCCCTCACAGTAGCCTAATGTTATCATCAGTATTTTGGACACACAAGCTTTGCTAATTGGGCTTCTCCCAGTTGTCTATGAAATCTATTGGATTCGTGCTTGATAAACTTGATTATAATTTGACCACAAATGATGATTTGATTACAAATTTACCGTTACCGTGATTTAATTGCATTTATAAATCTAATATATAACATGCTGATGAAACATTAGCACACAATCGTAATGATGTTTTCTGTTTGTTGATTACCTTTTCTTTTCATTTCTTTTTTTCATTTTATTTTCTATTTTTAAATGAAACATTTTCTCCAACCCATTAGATTTTTGGTTATTTTGTTGGTCAGTTTGTGTGTCCATTTTGTTTATATATTAGTTTTTGTTATCACCAAATCAAATGATTGTTATCAACATCATCATCCAACGTTTTCTCATCAATCATATTACAACTGTTTACAATTTAGATCATTCCCATTGATTAGCTTAACTGTACTGAACTAGATTAACTTTACCATTAAGTAAAGTTAATTGTTGTATGTGTGTATGTGTGTATGTGAGTGTCCATTCATCTTCATCAATTTTATCATTATCATAATTTTACAAACTACCGGAAATTAAATTTGTCCATTTTTTTTCAATTCATTTTCCGTATTCCTTACGATTCCTTTATAATTTTATGTGTGTTCATTGTTATAATCAACAAGCAATCAACGAATCAACTATTGTTATTATCAAACATTTTCGGAATTAACAGAAAGCTATTAATTTTATCTGCCAATTTTATCAATTGTTTTCTTAATCATCACCAAGCTCATATCGTTATCCAGAATCATTATGATTTAATATTGAGAATAGTAAGAAACATGTTAAACTGTAATTGTAAATTGATTGATAAAATGTTATTTATTAACAAATAATCATGAAACTCATTTAATTTGGTGATTATCTTTAAAGAGATAAATATTAATCAATGATTAAGATTATGGTGAAGATGAAGATGTTGATTATAGTAGTAGGAACAAGGAAGCTTATAATGAGTTAAATGAGAAAGAAAAACAATCAAAACAATGAGTGAAAATCAATTTTAAGCCCAGTCCACCTCTTTCTAGCACAATTAAAGGGCCAGGTAAGGTCAAGTTGATTGTTATTATTATTGTTATGATTATTGTTGTTTTTATGATGATGATGATTAAACTTTTATAGTTATTAAATGAATCTCACTTGGCCCTACCTTTAAATTTGGATTGATTCAATTTTGACAACAGTATGTGGCTAACCTGAAGTTCATATGTTGTTAGGTGTTCATCATTAGGTTACCTTAACCTAACCCATCTTGATGTTGTTTAGATAGTTAACCCTTGGTTGTCTCTCTCTCTCTCTCTCGCTCCCTTTTCATCATGATCATTATAATTTTTAAGGTCAACTATGTTGATGATTGTTCAGAAATCAGAATTGTGTTTGCTAACCATTACAGTGGTGGTTTTATCAGGTTAATGATGATGATCTTCATCATCATCCTCTCTTAGTCTTTGTCTTCTGCTCTCTCTCACTCACCTACAGGGAGGTGACTCTCTTATGTGGGATATAATTATTATATACTTTTCATTGTAATGATTATGAATGAAA